TCCTCCTCTACCTGCTGTCAATGCAGATGACAAAATCACCTGCAAACATGAAGATTTACTGAGATCAGTCAGCAGATCCTACTGCATCTCTACCCATTCTATGAACCTATTTCTATCCCAGACTGCTCACTTCACCACTCACTCATTTCTCACTACAGACAAATGTCAGATGAGGATCATTTTGCTGAATGTGGACAAATATTTAATGTCATAAACTATTTCTTTTTATGTCTTTAAAGCTCTGAATTTGCTGCTGTGGGTCACAACAAACCAAGGTCAGTATTAATATTTCTACTCTGGAACTAGCAATGTTTGTACCATGTTTACCATAATATCCACACTTTGTTAGCTAAAAAAATAAATAAATCAAGGAAACTAGTGTAGCACGTTTTAGCAACCAAACCGTTCAAAGAGCTTTACATAATAAAAACACAAAAATACAAATTTATAAAAAACATCATCTCAATTGTTTTGAGAAACCAGTAAAAACTTTACATTTTGATGGTGTCGTCATCAAAATCATCAATACACATCAGAATGTTTATCAGTGTTTCATTTATTATTGTTCAATAGCAGTTAGACTTAGAGTTGTCTAGGTTCAAAGTCTCATGGTTTCAGCTGTTTTTCAGTTTTCATGAAGTTTGCTGCAGATATGTGGTGCATAGAAGCTGAATGCTGCTTCTCCATGTTTGGTTCTGGTTCTGGATTCACAGCAGAACCAGAACCAGAACCTGAGAGGTCTGAAGGTTGATCCAGCAGCAGCAGATCTTCAATCTGTTCAGTGATTTATAAACTACCAGCGATTTAAAGTCTGTCAGTGAAGGAGTGAAGAACTGGGTGATGTAGAACTGGGTGATATAGAACTGGGTGATGTAGAACTGGGTGAGAACTGGGTGATGTAGAACTGGGTGACGTAGAACTGGGAGATGTAGAACTGGGTGACGTAGAACTGGGAGATGTTGGCCGTTGCTTTAGGTTAAAAATTGTTGTAGCACAACTTAACTGTCAAAATAAATAGTTTAGTAGAAGTCTTTATATTTTCCTCAGGAAATCTTAATCTAAGCAGTGTTTGTTTTTTTATTTAAAAGCCCAATTTAAATATTTTTAAACATAAATACAGTTAAAGCACAAAAATGCAGCCCATGCTAGACTGGAAATAAAGAAAATAAAAACTTTGTGAAATT